AGAGTCAGTTTCTCTTCTCCGTACACCTGACATCCCTCCCCACTATGTTTCACCTATTTTACCCTCTTTGAGGTGGCCTCTTCTCTGCATTTCAAGGTGGGGTTTGTTACCAGTCTTGGGATCATTTTCTGGGTTATTTATACCGATGTGAATGTTATCTAGTTGTATTGCGGGACAAGATGAGGTTAGAGTCTTCCTACTTTGCAGTCTTCCCCAGAAAATCTCCAAGAACTGTTTTAGAACCTACCCAATATTAATGTGTCATTGCCCATTGGTTTTACATAAGTAGAAGTCATCTGTATCCCAAGTGTTACCTACTAAATGCTTTGTCAGAATCACATCTTAATTCCCATTTAAAATATGTTCTAACAAATGTAGATAATAAATCTGAGTATCCCTCTCAAGCTTTTTAATTTCTTTTTATATCAAATTTTTGCAAATATCTTCTCCCATTCAAAGGTTGCCTTTTCATTCTGTTGATGGTTTCCTTTGCTGTGCAAAAGTTTTTTATTTTGTTATAGTCCCAGTAACTTATTTTTGCTTTTGCTTCCCTTGCCTCAGAAGACTTACCTTTTAAAAAAAAAGTGTTCCCCGGGCTTACATCAAAGAGATTACTGCTTAATGTTTTCTTCCAGGAGTTTTATGTAGTTTTATGGTTTCAGGTCTCACATTTAGGTCTTTAATCCATTTTGAGTTAATTTTTATGTGTTATATAAGACAGTGTCCAGTTCCATTCTTTTGCATGTAGCTGTCTAGTTTTCCCAGCACCATTTGTTGAAGAGACTGTCTTCCCCATTGCATATTCTTAACGCTTTTGTCAGAGATTAACTGCCCATATAAGTGTGGGATTATTTCTTGGTTTTCTATTCTGCTTAATTGATCTTTTTGTCTGTTTTTGTGCCAGTACCATACTGTTTTGATTATTACAGCTTTATCCTATATCTTGAAATCTGGGATTGTGATCTAGCTTTGTTCTTCGTTCTCAAGATTGCTTTGGCTGTTCAGGTTCTTCTGTGGTTCCAAATCTATTTTAGGAGTATTTGCTTTAGTTCTGTAAAAACTGCTGTTGGTATTTTGGTAGGAATTGTGTTGAATCTATAGGTCTCTTTGTGTAGGATGGGCATTTTAACAATATTTGTTCTTCAGTCAATGAGCTTGGAATATCTTTCTATTTGTTTGTGTTGTCTTCACTTTCTTTCATCAGTGTTTTATAGCTTTCAGGGTATAGGTCTTTTACCTCCTTGGTTAAGTTTATTCCTACATTATTCCTTTTGGTGCAATTTTAAGTGGAATTGTTTTAATTTCTCTTTCTGTTACATCATTATCAGTGGATAGAAACACAGCCAATTTCTGTGTATTTGTTTTGTATCTTGCAAGTTTACTAAATTCATTTATCACTTCTAATAGTTCTTAGAGTATTTAGGGTCTTCTGCATGTGATACCATGCCATCTGCAAATAATGACAGTTTTATTTCTTCCTTACTAGTATGGATGCCTCTTACTTCTTTTTCTTGTCTAATAGCTACAGCTAGGACTTAAAATACTGTGATGAATAAAAACAGTGAAAGTGGACATCCTTGTCTTGTCCCTGATTTTTAGGAAAAGCTCTCAGTTTTTTACCATTGAGTATGATATTAGCTGTGGGTTTTTCATATATGACCTTTATTATGTTGAAGAATGTTCCCTTGGAACCTACTTTGCTCTTGCATTTTGTCAGATGCTTTCTCTGCGACTGTTGAGATGATCAAATGGTTTTTAATCCCCTTGTCTTGTTAATGTAATGTATTACATTGATTGATTTGTGACTAATGAACCACTCTTATATCCCTGGAGTAAATCCCACTATTGTGAATTTTTAAATGTATTGTTGAAATCAGTTTTCTTAGATTTTGTTGAGGATTTAGGCATCCGTGTTCATCGGAGACATTGGCCTATAGTCTTCCTTTTTTGTAGTGTCTTTACTGGCTTTATATCAGGGTGATAACTGGTCTTGTACAATGATTTTAGAAGTTTTCTTTTCCTCTTCTGTTTTATGGAATAGTTTGAAAAGAGCAGGTACCATGTTCTTGACATTTTAAAGAAAAAAGTCTTGAATGTTACCTCTAAATATGTTTTTTTAATTTGAAATAACTTTTTAAGCTCTCTGTTCTTACTATTTATTGATATTCATTTGTATTTCCTTAAGATATACTTAAGTGCATGAAATTTTCTTTTTATAATCTTCAATGGTAATGAATTTAAATTATATATAGGCATATAAGCTTTAAAATAACATTGAAAGACAGAATTTCTATGAATATCTTAGAATACCATTTTAGAAATTAGTTGGCAGTATTAGCGACATCATTATTATATGAATGTTTGTTAATGTGGTATGAAAGCAAGATCCTCATTAAAATCTTGTAGCTAAACAAGTGACAAAAACCTTAGAAACAGCTTGAGGCTTTAGGCCAGTCAACAGTTAGAGATTTGGACAAGTGTGAAAATATACAGACTGTGCCTTTATTGTGGTCAGAACACAGGGATGCTATCTTGCATCAGTTCCCTACTGGGAATATTTTTATTCATAATAAGAAAACGGATCTGAAAATATTATAATGTGTAACCATTCTGTTGTGAATCTGTCAAATGTAAAAGTATTGGGTTTATTAAATTTGGAAAGTGGACTTTAGATAATAGCCATCGTGTTGGTATTTTCCAGGGAAGGAGGGTTTTGATCACCTCACATATTTTCCTTAGGCAAATTTGTGATGCTAATGATCTTTCTTCTAGACACTATCTGAGCATGGACTGGTCTGCTATAGGTCTAGTGAGATGTGATGCAGAGCAATCAGCCCATAGCTCATCACCACTATGGAATACGGCAATTCCCTTACAGAAGCCCTTAGCCAGATTCAGTCACTTCCAGGTTAACTTTATGTACATACTCCCTTTGAGGATTTCCTAAGTCTTTTTCTTTTAAGATTTTGTTTATTTACTTATTTGAGAGAGAGCATGAGCACAAGTTGTGGGGAGGGGCAGAGGGAACAGGAGAAGCAGACTCCCTTACTGAGCAGGAAGCCCAATATGGGGCTCCATCCCAGGACCCCAAGATCATGACCTTAGCTGAAGGCAGACGCTTAACCGACTGAGCCATCCAGGCATCCCACAAACCGGGTCCCTAGGTCTTAATTCTTACTTAGCATCATAACCGTTGCTTGTTGAAAAGCAGATTTTAATATCATTTAAGTAGAGAAATTCACATGTAAGAATACTAGTGACATTCCAGAGTGAAAGGTAATGGACTTCTATAGCCATGTAGCCGCCCCTCAGGATCTCCCCTGATAATGAGCTGATTATAAATCTGTTCTGCCTTTTTGAGTTGGAGGGAGTCCTTAGAGGGCACAAAGGAAATTTCCTTGGTCTGATTTGGCTCAGGAGCTCAACTCCTGTGCACAGAATGGAACAGAATTTTTGTAGTTGAAGTAGAAAAGGATAGCTGAGTGAGTTCAGGGGTCGGAGAGCAGTGGTGGGACTGCCGGGACTGGAGAACAAGCAGCTGAAGGAAGAGAATCCTAGGTGTCTTTGACGTGGAGTGTTACTGCATGTCCCCCACTTTCATGTGATGACACACATTAAACTGTTTGAATTAAAGTCATTGCCTTCATCTCTCGGCCTTGTTCCTGTTCTGCCGCTTCTCTGTCAGAGTATGCTGTGACATTTCAGGCAGACACAGATGTCTGTACTGTGGGGCTCTTGTCCCAGCACAGCCCCCCTCCTGAGTTTTTTTTAATGCATTTAATAGATCCCAGTCATTTCCGGTTTGCTTAGGTTTAAAACTTTTGGTTAACATATTCTGTGTCATCAGGGAGACCCCTGAATTACCTGCTTGCTTTAAGATAATGACAAATTATATCCTCTAGTAACTAGAAGGGTAATAGCTCAAGAAAAGAGGGAAATCTTGATAATTTTGCATTAAAGGAATTATAAAAGATACTCAGAAGACACTGTGTTTTACCTATAGCTTCTATGCGAGGGTGATACTGAATTGAAGTCTGACATGGAAATGGTTCGTTACTTAGAGCAGACTGGAGATGGCAGAGCTGAAACTAGAGCAGCCAGTGGACAAGAGGAAGGACCAGAATAGTCGGGAGAGTAGCTGCAGCAAAGCACACTATCCTGTGGGAAGAATAACAGAGGACCAAGTCTGACTTTCCAAAGCAGACTGGATTAGGGCACCAGGCTTCTTTGAGTTGGGAGTGTTGAGAAGGCAGGATACCAAGGGATCAGTACAATTTAAAAGACAAACTACTAGAATGGAAATTTGACAGAAAGCTGTTTCCAGGGACATCTAAGAGTTGACCTGGGAATGGCGTGGGAACCATATTACCAGATAGGAAGGCCCTTTGGCAGGGTTGACTTAAAGCGGGTGCCGTGATGCCATCAGGTGACCTGCAGAGACTAGAAGCCAGAGGCCCATATTTGCAAACAACTCCACTTTTACCCTTTCACTCATTTCTTGTAAAAGATACCCCTCTTCTGTATTAGGAATCTTCCTTATTCTCCACATCCCTTCTGTGTCTATGAGGCCTCCTCGGAGGTCCTCTCTTCCCCCGCTTTCGGAGTCCATCCCTTATTTCTGCAAAGTTAATGGCGCTCATCCTGTTCTGCCCTTTATTCATGTGCATGTCTTCTCTGGAGTGTATACTATGTGCCAAGCATAATCTAAGTAATAGATGTTAAGTGGTGAGTATTTTAGAGCTGTTAAAAATTAGCAGGAGTGCCTACTAAGCTGGTTGAGTGTCCATCTGATTTTTGGTTTCGGTTCAGGTCATGATCTCAATTCAGGGTCATGGGATTGAGCCCCGTGTTGGGCTCTGTACTCAGTATGGAATCTACTTGGGACTCTCTCTCCCTTTCCCCCTCCCTCCACGCTCTTTCTCTCTTTCTCTTTCTCTAAGGAATCTTTAAAAATTTTGATGTAACTGCAAGTTGTTTTTTTTCTTTCCAAACTTTTTCAGATTTTACCAAATGTTGCAAGGACTCTGGAATCCTTATGGTAGTAAAATGCCGGAAAGAAAATTCTGCATTGAAAGAATGCCTAACTGCTCAGTAAGTAGTTACCACATTGTTGGTGCTTCTCTGTTTTTAATACATGTAGCAGGTAAGACTGTTATTTAACTCATTACATGTAATAGATTTTGTACTTCGCCCCATCAGATCCTTGATATTGTTAGCTCAATCTGAGACTTCAGTTTGTTAAATATTAAGCAACATTTATTTATGAAAGGTCTTATCAAGTTACATGGGTCAACATTATATCTGATTAAAAATACGAGGGCAAGCAAACAAAAATGCAGGATTTTTCATATGACAGCAAATTCCTTTTCATGAACAGGTTGAGCTGTAGAATATATTATAGATGGGCTTATATTTGTCTCTTCTAATGAAAAGGTACTGAATTAGATGACTTGCCAGCCTTGTGATTTGGGGATTAATATAATTTTTAACTCCTGGGAAAGTTGTAATAAATCAAATGAAGGATACAAAGGTAAATTTAGATTTTTGAAGTTAATCAATTTTAAAATAATTCTTAAATATCATGTTCACTGACATTTAGTTGAATATTAAAGTAAAAATTTGCAAAATTCTTGGAATGCAAGTGCTTTCTTTTTTTCAAAGACTTTATTTTTTTTGAGAGAGCAGTACCAGGGTACGGGCAGAGAGAGAGGGAAAGAATGTCAAGCTGACTCCATGCTGAGCTCAGAGCCTGATGTGGGCTTGATCTCACAACCCTGAGATCATGACCTGAGCCAAAAGCAAGAGTCAGACACTCACCTGACTGAGCCACCCAGTCACCCCAGGTGCTTTCTGTTGTATCTCCCCACACATTTTATTGTCTACATTATTGATTATGTTGCAGAATACTTTAGTATTGTTAACTGACAGTTGTGAGGTCTTTTTGGTTAACCGTTATTTCCTTCTATACTTCTCTAGCCCTTGAAACGTAGGTCCGCATGATTTGATGCTTCCTTAGGGAATTATATAAAAAGTGATTATCTGAATCAAATATTTGTTGTTGTTTTTTTTTTTTGAGAACTAATGTACATATACATTTAAATTTACAAACTTATTTTAGAATTCTGTAGTTAGAAGACTTGAGAAGTTAATCTCTACATTTATGGATGAGGAAACACCCTTACTTATGGACCTGCACTAAGCATTTCATCAGAGAGTAAGAGTTCCTTCTGTGACTAGTTTTTCTTCCATTTCTATTCCCTCATGCTCCCAAGAGATGTGTAGTGAATAAATGAACCTGTTAAACTTCTTTGTGACTGAATTTAAATTCTGTTGTATATTAAAGGATTTTACACCTCAGTTTTAGCCATCATAATAACTTGTTCTTAGTTTGCCATATTATCCATCCCTCTCAGATGGGCATTATTAGAGCAGAGGGGCAGGAGTGCCAGCTGGGGAGAGGGCAGCCGGGGCTTACCTTCTGGACCAGCCAGAGCTTAGCTAGCCATGCAGCCTCAGGCAAGTTCCTCATAGAGGATGGGAAAATTATTCCTCATGGAGCAATCGTGGGGGACTATACATAAACTCATTACAACAGTGCCTGGCACATAGGAGGTAGTCAGTAAATGGTAGCTCTTTTTAAAAATTGTACTTGTTTTTGTTATCTGAATGTTAATCATTTAACTATCCTTCCATCTTTTACCCCCTGGAAATAAGGAGAAAGAACATCTAGTCTGTTCTGGGGAAGGGGCTGGGAAGGGTTGGAGGAGGCTGCTTCTGTTTAGGAGAGAAACAGTAAATGAAACAAAGAGGGTTGTGACATTTGCTGAAAGTAAATGGAGTTAAGGATTTTACTACTTGACCTTAAGTCTCAACAGTCTGTTTCTTCATTTTGGAATAAGAAAGTGCTCTGCTTTACTGTGAAATGAAGTTAACCACTGCCCTCTCATCTTTTCATAGTGACATCTTGAAATATGAATGCTTGTTCTCTTTTATCTCCGTCTCATTTTCACTCATTCCTTAGTAAACAGCAGTCTCACGTCTGCCCCCTTCCACTGGAACTGCTGCTCCTCAAGTTTCTAATGGGTTCCTGGTAGCCAAATGCAGTGAATTGCTTTTCATTCCTTCCTTTTACTTGACCTCCAGAAATTCCTTAAAATTCCCTTCTATCTGGCTTCCCTTACACTCTTTCCTGTTCCTCCAACATCTCATTTCTTCTCAGCCTTTTCTTCCATAACCCGATTCCTTAAAATGGGTTCCCGGTTCTCTCCTCATGCTTAGGTCTGTGAAAGCTCAGTTTACACCCATGGATTCAGTTAGCTTCCTATAGGTCATGACATTTTTCTGCTCTCTTCGGGTCCCAAACTGAACTCCCCTCCTTTTCCTTCTCCTGCATCATGTGTCTAGAATTTAGACTCCTGTCTCTTAACTCTAAATGGTTATTTCCTATTGATTTTATTACCTACATCTCCCCCAGATCGATTTTGTCCTTTTCATCCCAACTTCTCATTAGCTTATCATTCTTTTCTGGATCCTTGTGGTAGTTTACTTATTACTGGGCATCCTGCACCGAACCCTGCTGCCCTCTTTTGGCCTGTAGCATGTGGCCTGACTCACCTACGACATAAAATTGATCTTCGAGTTTCTGTTAGTAGTGTCCCATTGCCTTCAGGATAGATTTCGACTTCTGGGTATGGCATACAGTGGCATTCATGATGTGGCTCCTGTCCTGTCTAGCTTTATCCCAGGCCCTTTCTCTTACGGGCATAATCTGCTATAATGGTAGTTATTTGCAGTTCTTCGTCGTTTTTCCTCATCTTTGTGCCTTTCCAGTGTGCCTTCAGTCTGGACTTCTCTTGTCCGTCTAAGTGCAACTCCTGCACTTCTTGCCACTTCTCCTTTCCCCACTTCTCTCACAGGTTCCCATGGTGCACTGGGCCATACCTCCGGCACAGCACTTTGCATCCTTCCTTGTGGTGCAGCCTTTCCTTCCTGTTCCAGAACACCATGCGCTCCCTGAGGATAGGTGCTGTGCTTCTCATCACTCTATCCTGCCATTCAAAAACAGACCACTAGGTCATCCCCCTTGCCCTCTTAAGCAGGTTGATAGCCTAATGTTTACAGTAAGTTTATGACCATTTCTTAAAATCTATTTTTAAAGATTGTACCTTGTGAAATGTCTGAATATTACTAAACCAAGCTTATATTAAAAACACTCGTGAAGTTTCACTTTTTTAAAAGGAGATTTTCATTTCCTTCTTGTAGTTATAATGATCCAGCCTTTTATGAAGAATGCAAAATGGAATACCTGAAGGAAAGGGAAGAATTCAGAAAAACTGGAATTCCTACCAAGAAAAGGCTACAGAAGCTTCCCACAAGCATGTAGGCAAATGTTCAGATACTTAGAAGCTCTGATACTCACGGAAATCATTATCACCTAAAATAATGGACTCAAGGAAGTGTTTGCTTTATCCTAAATTATGGAAATACTAATTTTATCTGAAATAAAGTTTTTTTTTTTTTTAATTTTAAAGTCAGGTTTGTCAAATGTGGTAGGAGTAGTAAATAGTGAAATGGGATATGGTCTGCCTGGGCATCATGGATTTTTTGGTAAATCTTCCACAACTACAGTTCTGTAACAGAGATAGAGATTTAGGGTTCTATACAGACCTTATATTCCTTTTGTTCAGTGTATAGACTAATGGGTAATCATAGGGATCAGAAGTAACCAAAGTAGGGATGGACAGCCGTCAGAGGTGTTAATAAGGCAGTATAGCAGAACAGTGATGAACCAGAATCCTTCTTGGTTCTGTTACTTACTAGGTATGTCACCATGGAAATAATTTTGTTATTGTGCGGATTATTGCAAGTAAGTGGAGTGTTTAGGACAGTGGCTCAGATGTGGTAAATGCTCTTTAATGGTTGTTAGTAGTAGTAAAGGATTATTTGGAAACAGATAAAGAAATAGATGAATTAATTTTACTTATATGTTTGATGGAAAGTTTCCTAAAATGAATTATTATGTTCCTTGACCTGTTCATTTGGTTACTGAAAATATTTTAATGATTTCAGGAGCTAATGTAAAAAACTGTCCGAGTACAATAATTTGGTTCCAGTTTTTTATATCAAAACTTGCTTTTCTTCCATGAGCTGTTAACTCTCCACTATAGCCACGGCAACCAGTTTCTTTCTTTCTATCTATCTATCTATATATATCTCATTAAAATCACAAATAGAATTTACTACATACTAGGACAAGATTTAATTTTGGCCCCTGTCCCATAAAATAGAGCTGAGATTATTCTTTTTTTAAAGGACTTAGTTTAAAGCAGATAGGATGCTAAGGAACCAGTGTGATGCTCAAGTTCCATACTTCACTCAAGTGAACCACTCAAAGAACTATTTTACTCTTACTTGAAAACCAAAGAAACCACATTTTCCCAGCCCACAGATCAAAAGGAAGATTACTAGAGCAGACAAAAGCAAAGCAAATGTAGAAACCTAGAGACCACATACCATAGGCGTCATCAAGCCTATATTCTTCTGTTGGCCTTTCAGTACCTATTACATTTCTTAGCGCACAGGACCTTACTTTTAATGGTGCAAATGAAGAAAAGGCAGTAAATTTAAAAAGCTAGTGAAATACATAATCTGTGGCTAATTTATAATTTGGATGACAATCAGAGGAGCTAAATTTTATGTGGAAAATTTATTTTCTGTAGATGTCACTTTCTCCACAGGTACTGGAATAGTAGTAAGTAAGTATGTTCATTCCTCTGCCAGAAACTAAACCCTTTATCACTGCTTTCAGGATATCCTGCCTAGCCACCACACTGTCTACTCTAAAACAGCTGCCTAAGTTGATGTCTGGCTTGCTCATTCATACCTCTGGCTGAAGCTATTTCTGTGAAGAACTAGTGCACCGATTTTCTTCCCCTAAAGATCCACCTTGTTCATGTAGCCTCTTTGGATCAGATCGTTATGGTTTTTCCAAGATTAGGTCTCAGGTCTTTAAGTCTGAATTTTCCCCTACTTACTTGGTTTCTAATGTTTCCCATAGGTGTGTCCCTGCTCTGCTTAGGAATTAGGTTCCATCTGGGCAGAATTTCCATTTCCTTTTAAAGAAGATGCAGATTTTATTTTCACTAATAGGAGATCAAGAGGAAGGAGTGAGTGGCTTTTTGCTGTTACCTGTCTTCTCTTCATTCTGTTATATAAATGGGAACTGGGTTATAAAAAGCTAAAGATTAAAGATATTTCCAAGGGAAGCCCTTTGGAGCAAATTTCAAGCAGTATGAAAGAAATCAACATAGAATATTCCATCTCGGGGGCACCTGGCTGGCTCAATTGGTTAAGCATCCACCTCTTGGATTTCAGCTCAGGTCATGATCTCAGGGTCCTGGGATCCAGGCCCCGGTTGGGCTTGGTGCTCAGTGGGGAGTCTGCTTGAGATTTTCTCTCTCTCCCCTACCCGCCCTCAGGTAAATCTTTAAATTTTTTTTTTTTCCCCATCTCAACTAGATTATCAAATGATGGGCCATTCCCATTTCTCTTTGAATCTTACATACAACAGAGATGATCATAAAGCATACATTTTTAAATTTGTAGCTGGTTAAAAGTTTTTGGTTAATCTTTATCAGAGTCCTACACATCATTTATTTAGCACTTTACACTGTAAAGAACATACAACCACTGATTTTTAGCATACCTGTTGGATAGCCACCCTCTTGTTCATATGGAGAACATTTTTTCTGCTTAAAAGAAATGATTTAACAAGACAAATGTCTGTTACATGAATCAAATGAACAACTAACAATTAGTACCTGACCTTGGAATATAAAGGCAAGGATAGTATTTTACATTCGCTTCAATTTCAAACAAAAATAATTTATTTTAATTAAACAATTTCTTGGCATTGTTCAAAACATTAATCAAGCCATTATCTCATATTACTTCTTTACAAAGGAAAGTTTCCAACCTTGGTTTAAAAAAAGACAAACCAGTAAGCTATATTAGAGATTAGATAGAATATATAGTCTATGCAGCCACATGAGAAATAGTTTATGCTGCTTTGTTATTACACAGGTAGTTACTTCCTTTAGCTAAAGCCTGGAGTCTTGTATTTGTTTTATGCATATTGGGTTTTGTTCTATTACTTGGCAGGAGATTGTACTCCCTGGAGTCAGCTGTGTTCATTGGTCAGAATAAATTCCAGCATCTGACACCAATTCCATTAATCACAGACAAGCCTGAATAAGTGAGTAAGATAATAGAAAGACAAAAATATCTGGTGAACAGTGAACATTGTTTATGTATGTATGCTATTCAGTTAATATATTAGAGATCTGAGATACTCTTTTGAGTTCAAGATATTTGAAACTATCAAAAAGGATAAAGGCCTCCTACATGAAACACTTTATCTCAGGCAAAAGATGTATAAGCCAACTAATACATTATATTACTAATATGTTTATACCACCACCCTGTAAGAATTTAGATAGATTTCTGTGTGAAGCCATCCTTGTTATATGCTTGTTTATAAATGATAGGCCACTTAGAATCAAAGTCTGGGGACATTTCATGATTGTACTATATCAGTACAGCACAGAATTTGGTTTATAGAATTACATTTCCTAATTTGGTTAAGGAAAAACACTATCTCAATGAGTAAAATGTTACATTTCAAATAAACAAACAATTTATAAATTGCTCTACATAACTAGCAGGTACAGACCCTGATGAAAATGACTTTATCCAGTTACATACTTAGATTTTCATTATGGACCACTGATGGCACAGATTTAGACTAAAACCTTTGTGGTGCTCTTTCTACTTCTCATTGAATACTATAGAAATATAATAGTTCACACACATTTTCACTTTTCAGTTAGGATTTGAGGACAAAGTTGGCTTCGATGATCAGGTTATTTCAAGTCTTAACACTGATTTAAAAAGTCTTAAACTTTGAAAACACAATAGCATACGGAGATGGAATAACCTAGAAGAGATGCTATTATTTAACCATAACACTTTTTGTCTTTATTCAGTAGAAGGTCAACAGAAACATAACTTACTCATTTTGCCATTTGCTCTTTTTGCAACTTAAAGCAACTTATAATTTGTCTCATATTAATGGCCTCTTATTTTTACGAATGGATATTTACACATTTCACATGCTTTATAAAACCATGTCCAAGAAATTTTAATTCCATTCTTTATGTGAGGCTGTTATTTACAATTACTATCAAAGGTAAAATTGTCCCTTTAAAACACCTTAAGTTTATTTATTAGTAAGCAGCATATGTCTGATTCTTAGCCGGAACGTGGAGCTGGACGGTGTGCTCTTTCATACTGGGAAATCAACTACATAATGTGGAACAGTATGTGCAAACATATATACCGAAGAACTCTGCAAAGTTTAATCGAAATCTGCTTTCAGTTTGTTAAATAATTTCTTGAGAGTGCCACTGAGGGAGTTACAATAACCTCATGACCAAATCATTAATCTCTTCAGAATTAATTCTTAAAAAGACAGTTTTGATTATGTTGATCCAAGTAATGCAGTGGTGGCAGGTTGGGTAAAGGCAAAGTTTTATTTTTAGTTTCCCCAAATGCTGTCTCACTTGATTTAGGAGGGCTTGGGAATACCCAAGAATTATCTTCCAGAGAATTTCTGCCATAAGAGCTGTGTTCCTGAAAGTTAGGACCATCATGAAGAATGGATCGCTCATTATCTGTCCATGATTGGAGAATTGCTTTCTCTGATAAAACCTTTATATCTCCTGGTAAAGGGGAAGATGTGGTATGGCAAACACTTTTGCCATTCGGAGAGAGAGGGGAATGTCTTTTGTATGTTGCAGTAAAATTCGCCAAGTGCAGTTTTGTGCTGTCTTTCCCAAGGTCTTCCATGCATCCTACTGGGGCACAGGCTAAAAAGAAAGCACAGGCTAAATGTCAGTTGTCAAGGCATTTGTGATCATAAAACACATAACACTTCATTAATTTGGTTAAATGTAGAACTGGAAATAAAATGAACATTTCTAAGTTTGCGTGACCACTGGGGCACTGTGACTTGAAGACTGATGAAAAATGATCTGAGTTCTAATTTTGGATCACTATTTACTGGCATTGTGACTTTTAGATAGGTTAAGTCATTTGTGTCCAGGTGTTACTTCTCTTATCTGCAAAATGGACATAGTAATCTTGTCCTGCCTATATCACAGAATAATTAATGAAGATGAAGAATTCCATAGTTAAAGAAGTTAGAAGCCAGAGTTAAAATACAGAAAGGATCCCCTTCTTGGCTCATAATGTGGCTAGAAAATGTTTGCAGACTACGTGTCAGTGGAAACTATTCTAAAGTAATGTTTTGTTAAATATATCCTTTGCTTATTCAAATCTTTTTTTCCATAGGTGCTTCAAAAGTAAATTTTTTCAGAAATAATTACATTGTGAATTGATCCAAAGGCTTTTATGGATAAAAGTTTGAATACATAATCTGTTTCTTAAATAGTTATTTCTGCTGTGGTTACAGTAATAGGTGAAGGGAAAAAATGTTTAGTACACACATAATGGCTTAGAAAACAAACTGCTTTAAAGCTGTTATTTAGTGATAGCCAACATAATGGTAGTATGAGCTTCTCTGCCCCTTCCAATTTAACCAACTGTGGCAAAATGCTAGGAATTAGAACAAAGACTTGAATCTGTAATTTTATAGAAAACTGAACCACATTATTATAGAAAACTGAACCACATTATAAGCTTATTGCCTTTTTTTCTTGGGAAGAGGGATAGGAGAAATTAAAGATGCTCAACTTCTGGACAAGGGTGATCTGTAAATTAGAAAAAAAGGTGATTTAGTCTGTCTCTACTCCCCAAAGCACTGAGTGCTGCAGTTAGGAGTGGTGGCCTTGAGCCTGCCACTGTTGTATGCTAGAAAATTTATGGTTCAATATACCAAAAGACATCCTTCATCAGCTCAGAAGGGACACACAAATGACTTATTATTAAATATGGAAAGAGTATTCCGCCTACATTATTCTTTGGAAATTATTACATTAAAAAAGAGCCTCACTGAAAATTCCCTACAAGATTATTCTGTGTTCCTTTTAAAAGGAGGAACTTCCCCATCAACATACCTTGGACTCATATGTAACCCTGGCCACTGGAAAACTCAAGGGCAAAATGAACCATAAATTAAGTTGGAGCCTGCCAGAGCACTCTATTAGTTTTCCTGGTTCATAAATAACTCTCACGAAACTGAAAGGAGTTTTGACTTTAGTTTCGTTTTCCTTTTTCCCTACTAATAAACACTGCTGAGGAAATTTATAAAACAAAATTCTCTTGTGCCTTCTTTAGCAGCAATACGAGGTGCATATAATTTTAAATTAGGTGGCAGTGAATATTCTTTATAAAAAAAGTCACATCTCATTCCTTTTAAAATAAACTTAGGACATTCAAATTTACAACTTTTCAGAAATATACCTATTATGTAATAAAAAGTGCAAATGTACTGATTGAGGTATAAAAATAGCTTTGGCAAAATAGTACTATATTAGCCCAAAACTCAAAGTTTAGTCAGCCAAGCAGTTACTTATGAAAAGCAAATCAATGAAAATTTTCATTTCATTGAAAGCGATAAGGGGATAACACCTGGTCTCCATTCTAAACAATCTATCCTTTATGGAAAGAAAAGTTTACCAAATGAACCCAATAAATGCATCAAAGTAATTTTCTTCAGAACAATTTAAAGATCTAGGTCTTTGATATATTCTGTAACACTGGAATGAAAAATACCTTTCAGTGTCTTAGTGTCTTTTTTTTTCTTTTTTTTAAATATAAGAAGGAGTTGTGGTAAAAGGTCAACTAGAGCAAACTTAACACCTCAGGCTTATACACATAAGCAACACTTGGCTGAGAAAAAAAGCCACAAGGGGGAAAGAATACAGTACGAAGAAAAAACACATCAGCAACACCTTTATGTGTGAAGTTGACCAGTATGAGAATGAAGCCAAAGCAGAGAATAGGTAGGCTGTGAACATACTATATATACTTTGGCTTATCAAAATCATCTGATGAGATTTTGATAAACGATAGCCAGCTGCTCTTCTAATAGGGTTTCCAGCAAACATTAACTTGCCTTTCTTGATTGTAGTTGGGGTTTTCAGTTTTCTTAGTAGTTCAGCTTGTACTTGAGTCACCAAATGTAAATTAGACATTTCTCTCTTCAGTTCCCAGTATGCATTTTGCATATTATCACTGAAATAGATTTTTTTTTTAAAAAGTTACTGGTTATATAACTTTCTTTATGGACAGAAAGGACTGACTTTAATATAGAAATGAGCATTATCTGCATTTCTGCTCCAATTAGTTTTAAGATAAACAAAACTTCATTAAGTAACAGAAATATGGGCATTAATAAGTAAAAAGATCTTATTCACAATTTTGGCCATTAACTGAACTATATTAAACAGATATTACAAAAGTCGTATTACAACCAAATTTCGTATTACAACCAAATTTCTTATTAATTATAGCCTATAATGTGCTGTGCTGTGGCACTAATTCAAGGGGTATGGTCTTCATTTATAAATCGGATCAAAAATAAAGTGACATTTATTCATGTATAGAGTTTTAATTTGTATTTAACCCTTACTTGGTTTTGACACTGTGAATTGAAATGTATCAACTGCTGAATGTATACCCAAATCCACATTAAAATTTAGGTTTCATACATTTCATTCTTTTATGTTTGACTGGGCTGTCTCATATGGTTGGTCTAAACCAATGTGACATGACAGCACAAGACAAGAAGAGCCAGATGATTTCCTGGTAAGGGAAAAGAAGCCAGAGAGGATTATATGAAACAAATTTAAAACTTAATAAATGCCTCTCATTTTCATAATTAAAAGTATTTTGCCTCAATTATCTGAGAAGTTATAAATTATTGTACACCTAATTTGTAAAGTCTCATTCTTCCATTAAACATGGATATTCATGATTTTCTTTTGGTTTTTAATTGCCAACTAAATAAACTGATATCCTTGTATAGCCAAGTAGGTATACTGAAGATATGTAAAATGTTAAGTATAAAAACAATTGCTCTCATAGCATTCAAATGACCATTACTGCCTCTTAAAGACACTGGTGTAAATTTAATAAGTAGAACAAGTTAGAAAATACATCAATTTTTATCTAGCTATAAACAAAAACCTTTAAATAAACCAAGGTATAATACTCTTGATACCTAAATCTAAGATCCTGTTTGAATTACAGTGCAACAGAGCTACTCAAAAATCATTGTTCTGGGGCACCTGGGTGGCTCAGTGTGTTAAAGCCTCTGCCTTAGACTCAGGTCATGATCCCAGGGTCCTGGTATGGAGCCCTGCATCGGGCTCTCTGTTCCATTGGCGAGCCTGCTCTCCCCGCCGCCGCCCCCACCCCAGCCTGCCTCTCTGCCGCCCCCACCCCAGCCTGCCTCTCTGCCTACTTGTGATCTCTGTCAAATAAAATCTTTTAAAAAAAAAAATCGTTTTGAATGAAAGGTTATATACGTTTTTTGTCAAGGTATTTCTATTCCACTAAGACTACAATTCTTTCACTAGAAGCAGAATAAACTTTATGCTGCTTTCGGGAAAAATCTACATGTTTTAGTCTATTGTAAATGTCATTTGTCAAACAGGAGTCTATTAAAAATCATAGGGCTTTTTGCAGGTTTTTGGTAAGTGTTAAATAATTACTTAACAAAAATTAACCACCCCCATTTCACCAGTAAACATCTGAGATGTATGTTACAATGAATGTTTCACATAGGAACCCGTCTTAAGTGTGAAGGTTTGTTCCTTGTTGCAACTGTGGGTATTCAGTAGGCTTTCCAAAGAGTTACTCACATTGCGTAACACAGACACAGCACTTAAACTTGCTAATTCATGCAGACTGTGAGGATATGAATAATACAGTTTAAAAATACTGTTTAGTTATTGGCATGAGATGACAAATTAGTATCTAACTTTGAGAAAACAAAAGCAAATATCCAAGACCATGTTTGGGTCCTCGAATATCAAACACATTTAATCATTCAAAATAGCTAAGCATGTAAAGTAAAAGAAACAATTAGAAATGTTAAAGCAGTGTCTAATGCACATTTTCCAATTCAATTTAATGAAGACTGCTTATAAACTAGGTTAAACCAAAAACTAGGTCACTAAGTTC